CCCTGCACTTGGAGTGTTATGCACTCAAATTAAGAATGAAATATATGGCTACAACTTGGAAGCCAGCTTCCATTTATAGATACAGAAGCAGCAGGGCAGCAGCATAGCTGGAAAAGAAAGATTTAGAATTTCCTTTCCTGGTTTGCTAAAGATCAAGTAATATCTCCTTTAGAAAAAAAAAGAAGGAAAAAAAAAAAGAAAAGCCTTTGTTGGGGTTTGCCACTTGGCAAAATCAAGTCACTCAAAGCCATTATGATCTTGGGGTGTCCTGAGCTTTTCTTCTCATCTTTTTCCTGTTTTGTTTAAGAAGATAGTATCACAGTCACAGACAGAAAACTAAAAAACAATGCAGAGCACGTTGCTTCCATCGACATTGGAGGCAGAGAAGGCATATTTCCACATGAGTCGATGTTTAGCCTGTACACGTTTAACTCTACAACTGGATAAGATTGACACCTAACAATCCTTGCAACTTGCCCTTCTCCTTTTCTTCTTTCTTTAGAGTTGAATTTCGCTTTCATCTTTAGTTTCATTTTTTATGTTTGTATGTTTTTTTTTTTTTTTATAATGTGCGTTTCTTATTGGTTATCACCATTGACTGTTATGAATCTTCCAACACATTGATGTTAATCATTGATGTTGTACTCTATATCTATCTCTACATATTCTACCTTAAGAAGTTTTCTCAACTATTTTTTCAATTTATGATATGAATTTTTCTTTGATTTAAGTAAAAGAATATATTATTTCTTAATCATGAATGAAGGGAAATCAAAACAAACTAAACCAAATCAAACCAAATTCATCATCAAAATGAATTGATTATACTACTATTTTGAGAATAAATCGAATCAAAACCATACCGAATTAGACATACTCTAAATCAAAACGACTTTTGCACATCTATAATTTTGACAATATTGATTAATGATGTTAGATATTATTTTAATTGGAGTTACACTATTTTCACCCCCTTTCAAATTAATCTCCCCGCAACCAATGATTAACATTTGAATGTCGACAATCATGGCTATAGGCGTCAAACTAAATTTAGACGGCACATACTCTAAATCAAAACGACTATCGCTTTCCATGGCCTCAATCAAAAAGAGAAGAAACAAAATAAACTGACTATCCAGTAAAAAATCAGGCGGCCCGGTCCAATTCAGTCCGACCCATCACCAAGTCTCTCTTTCAGATACCACAACACGAAACACATACCACTTGTCGAAAAACTACTGGATCACAATACTTGGATAAGCCTTTTCGGGGACCTCTATCTCTCTCACACTCTTTCCCGAAAATTATTTTATAAATTAAAATCCTAAAACCCACCAAATTCCCTCTTCCTCTCCACTATGCTCAAAATTTTCCCGGAAAATTTCCAACTCTAAATATTCTCTCTTCCAAAAATGGCTGCCGTTGCTTCTCTCTCTTTCTCGGCCCTGAGGCAATGTTCTGATAGAAAATCGGTAATCTCTTCTACTTGGAATTTGGCTTACAACTCCGAAGGTCTCCGGCTCCGTACGAGCTTTTCCTGCAATAATGGTGGTGTTCGAGCATCGAGTTCGAGTTCTCGTATGTTGATTCATTGCATGTCAGGTGGGTTTTGCTTCGTAGCTTTGTTTGATGCCATTAAATTGCTATCTTTTAACGTTGCTACATTTTATCAGGAACTAGACTGGACCTTAATTTTAAATAATTTTGTGTAGAAATAGTGAATTTTCCATTCATTTCTGCTTTTTTACCTCTTCGGCCTGCTATAGCTTACTAAATTAACATCGTTTAAAGTAAAATTAAGCTTTTAGTTCGATCTAATTTAGCTGTTATATTTTCTTTTTTTCCAAGTTATGCCTTTCCTTATATGTTAATAGTAGGAAGTTATTTTACTGATATGGAAAGGAATAATTTTTCTAATCATCTTGCCTTGATCATGTGGGATAAGAACAATGGAGCCTTGATGAACTAATTATCTAGCTAGATGTTCATATTCATCAGGACCCATCTTTGGTTCCTGAACCAATATGCTTGAATTTTATCAGAGTTTATATTAGTTAAATTTGTTTCAACAGACTCTTAATTTTTATTCCACAAGAAGTTTATAATTAAATCCTCCATAATTTTCTTGGTCTTCTTGTGCTTGCTTACTTGATGTGCAGGTGCGCCTACTGTAGCTGACACAAAGTTGAATTTTCTTAAAGCGTATAAGCGACCAATCCCTAGTGTTTACAACACTGTGCTGCAGGAGCTGATTGTCCAACAGCATTTGATTAAGTACAAGAAGTCATACCGTTATGACCCCGTGTTCGCCCTTGGTTTTGTCACTGTATTTGATCAACTCATGGATGGATACCCCAGCGATGAGGATCGAGAGGCAATCTTCCAAGCTTACATCAAAGCATTGAATGAGGACCCAGAGCAATACAGGTTTGTCACTTGTGTGGGATCTTCTCCTCTCTGTTTTTTTCCATTGCATAACTTTTTATTTCGAAACAAAGAAATGTGGTATGTAAACTGTGGCAAACTGACAATCGCATTATCTGAGGTTTCAAAATTATGAAAACTAAGTGAACATGTAAGCTACTAATTGAGATTGTGATATTGTATTTAAGTATTCCTTTTTGTGATAACCAAGAAAATCCTATTAAGAAGATATCTGAATCATGCAAACTGCATAATGCTACATCAGAATTTCCTAGTTTATGCCAGAAGATTGGTTGATAAAATAATCTGAGACACATCCATTGAAGGATCAGTTTTGATATCAGAAAAACAAAGGGAAAACCACTGGTCATAGGATGCTTGAGGAAAAAAAAAAAAAAAAAAAAGGAATCCTAATTTGTTAAGTATTCTATCATTTTCTTTTTTATCTTGAAAAATCTAAGAAGTAGATATAATTTTTTTATATAAAAATAAAAATGGTGATTTAATTAATTTAATTCATCAACCACAGAAATGGTTTCTTCCTTTTCCTCTGCTTTTCCAAATGTAAACTGTGTCTAAGAATTTACACCTCTTTACACTACAAATATGTCATACTGGCCATGACCATGACCAATCATTTATGCTTCCCCTTCAGAAGAGTAATTTTTGTGAGGAAACAATTCTTAATCTGTTAACTGTCAAAACTTCTACTGCATTTTTTTTTTCCAGTGAGAGTGTCATGTGCATTTGAATTTTTATTTTTGCATGTAATCAATCTCTTTCTTATATATTTGAGAAAAGTCTCTACCTTTACTAGATAAGTTTCCATGCTAAGCACTACAGAATTGATGCACAAAAGTTGGAAGAGTGGGCTCGGGCACAAACTTCCAGTTCATTAGTTGAGTTCCCATCCAGAGAAGGAGAAATTGAGGGGACATTGAAAGACATTGCAGAAAGGGCAGCAAGCAAAGGAAGTTTTAGCTACAGTCGTTTCTTTGCTGTTGGGCTCTTTCGTCTTCTCGAATTGGCAAATGCAACTGAACCAACAATATTAGAAAAGGTTAGACTTGCCAGTCCAATGCATCAACATTACAACTCAATGATAGGTGTTAAGCCAAATGTTAAAATTACTGCATTTTGTGCTTGGTTGAGTTAATGACCGTTACGTAATGATTGAATTACCTTGCATGATCAACTTGGGCCGATAGATTTACTTACTAGATACATTTTTCATGGGCCTAATGGGCTCTGCTGACTTTTGAAGAGTTGTTTGTAATTTTTAACTGGATACATATTTAACGGTTGGTGAGAGAGAGAGAGAGAGAGAGCAATGTTTGAGCATTTACAATTTGGTTGTCCAACAGTTATGTGCAGCCTTAAACATTGACAAAAGAAGTGTGGACCGGGACCTTGATGTGTACCGCAATCTGCTCTCCAAGCTGGTTCAGGCAAAAGAACTTCTAAAGGAATATGTGGCCAGGTAACATATCCCTCAGCATGATGTCCGTTATTGAATTCATAGTATATTATATATGATAGATAAGATGGACATGATAATAATCCTCAAAATAGACTGAAGTTTTATAGATAGTTTGAACCTTCTCCTGTTCTGAACGTAAGTGCAAGGATCAAATACGTAAACATTAGCATGCATACAGGGTAAGTTCTGTAATCATAGAGCTTTTAAGTCTGAAGGTTCTTCTATTGGAATCAAGTATACACCTGTGGCTCTGGTACTAGTTGTCTCTACCTGATCACAATTCACACTACATCCACAATTGAAGCTATAATATTTAACCAGTTAATCCCCTAGACCTTATAAAGTTAAAATCCATAGCTTTAGTTCGATTATCTGCAGACTGTACCTCTTGGGGTATAATTTATGGGTTTTGGCTTATGATTCATTAAGGACGGAGAAGCTTTTGTGCTTACTGTGTTCCAATGGGTAACCATAGTATTTCAATGCAATGATTTTGGCTTTCAGGGAGAAGAAGAAAAGAGAAGAAAGGGTTGAAAGTCAGAAGGCCAATGAAGCAGTTACCAAATGAATGGGAGACTACCAATATGTTCACGAGTAGTCGGAGTGGTGCCTCCTTCAAAGCTGGTCACTCTCCACGAAGCTGCAGATCCCCAAATCTTTGAGGTAGAGTTGGAGTTTTTACACTTAGGCATGTACCTTTCCATCAACTTGTAGGTTTGCTGTTAGTGTATTGCTTGCAGTGCTGCTCCAGCAACAGCCTATGTTCCCGCATGTCTACATATTTACTTTTTATTATGACCTTCTGTTTTATAAAAAAAATGTATTATAGCTTGTAACTACAATTCTCGATTTGCAATATTTGAATCGGGTTCTCCACAGTAAAGCTAAGTGCTAGTTTCTCGTTCTCACCCTAATCAAGTGCTTCCATAGCATCACTCTTGCCTCCATTGCCTAAGCTTGACTATACAAGTAATCACGATTTTTATGCACTGTGTATGCATATGATTGAGCCTTCTATCATAAAGATTTCATCTTCCTGGTTCATTAAGTTTCTTTTACTTCAATGCTTGTACCCTTGTTCTGCCAGGCCTTGATGGGATCCAACGAATTTGAGTAGAATTATTTGCATTCGATTCATTCACATAAATCAATAATATACAGCTGGATAACAATTCTTCACAAAGAAATAAAAAGATCTTTCATGGTTGACTGCTGGAAATGGTACTAAGCTAAGATGGCAATGAAATCCCAATAGAAATCTCACTCGTTCACAAGGGAATTAGGATGGGGCAGACAGGAATGACTTAATAAGAGGTTTAACTAAGCTGAGAAATATCAATTTCTTCTGGGAGCTTAAATGTGTCTGCTGCACCAAACTTCCTATACTCCGCTGATTCATGAGCTTCTTCATCTGAATCCTCTTCATCAGCTTCATGGCTGGTTGGTGACACGGGATTGTTAATGCTTTTCGACCTGCAGCCGTGCCTGGCGAGAATGTTCACCTGGCGAAGGTGAGAGATTTCCACCATGACAGTTTCATCATCAACTGGGAGGGGTTGCTTCCAAGGTTCGCCATCGATCCTCATGTACGTATGATCGATTGCACCCTTGTGAAACAGAAAGCGGATCCGGTGGGCCTATCACCGTAAGATTAGCATAAAATAAGCCAATTATGAGCATAATTTCGGCTTGATCAAGATTCATTGCTGCAAATTATGTAACAAAACCATTTCATATTTATTACCTGGGTAAGACGAGTCCCATGCCCCTTTGGCGCAAGCAAAACAAGCCCATGCCATGCATCTCTGAAACCAACGACCTCAATGCGGCCATCGTCTACATGTGGAGGAGTAAATTCTCCCTGCAAAGTCAAATCCACCAAAGAATTTGTTAGACATAATAAATAAATAAAAATTGGATCCAATTCACTAAGTGATGCGTGAACCAACTTTATGCCGCCTCCTACTTGGCATTCCCCAAGGATTAAATCCACCAGAAAAGCTAGGTAAATTGAGGCACACAATTGACTTGATGCTGAAAATTGAAACGCAGAGGTTAATAAAGAATAATTGGACATTATTTGTGAAATAAAATCATGCATCAAGTACCACAGAGACGAGAAACAAAATATTAAATCAATTTAATTCTTGTGCAAGAGATGTTGCCCTTTTGCAGTAGAGCACAACACAGACTCATGAGAACGAAGTTTACCACCCATGCAAAATGAAAACGAGGGAACACAGTACAAGTAGTGCAGCGAAATTTTTAAAGAGAAAAGTGACGTTGGACATAGGCGGCATGGAAATTTTTCTTAAAGGAACTGGAAAATTAATTAGCAACTGGATCAAATACAGAACTTGGCATGAATCCAAGATCAAGCAAGCTCAACTCGGTTATAATATAGACAACAATGTACCTTGGAGGAATTTGGAGCTCTTCCCATTGACCACCGTGGTTTTTCATGATCATCAACTTTGCAAATTGGTTTATGTTCCTATTTCAAGAGATATAGTTAATTTCATATTCAGTAAAGAAGATGCTAGAAGGTAATCCATTGCTGAAAGGGCAATCTCTAGATGCTCACCGGGAAGAAGACTGAGAAAGGGAAGAAGAAAACCAGCCTTGTGAACGGGTAATCTTTGCATAAGTACTCTGTATTTAGGATTAAAGAAAAGAGCAGAGGAATAAGTAGTGCTTCTCTCTATATCATAATATACATGAGCAAGATCCAGTTAAACTGAATGACATGAATGCTGTAACAGATTTAACCACACCAGAAAATTTACCGTATATGACTAACACTATAATAGTTCATGAAAAATGAGGGGTTGCAGGCAAAATTACTAAGTTAATGAATTCATTTCTCCGAAAAGAACAGAATTAGAACCCTAAGGTCTTTCAGTTATTTAATGGATTGTGAATGCCTTCATCTCGCTGTTCATGTTAGCATCAGCACTAATGGTGTATGAGGATCAAGTTTAATAATGCATGACAAATTCATCTATTGAGGTTCATGTACATTGCAAAAGTTAGCTGCTCTATGTGTAACACCTATGGCGTATAGTACCAACTAATATTTCTAATTTGCATCCTACCTTTTAGTTTGTGTTATCTATTATAAATTTTCTTAAGTAATTTAATATCAAATAATTATCATGATTTAACTACACGATATCCATGGATCATAATGGTTCTTCAAGAAGCATGTACCTGATTTGACAACTGGTTTTTAAACTTTTCGGGATGCAGCTTTCGCTCAGTATGAAACGCATATGATACTTGAGCATCCATCCCTACAACCATAAACATGTAGTCCATTTCAATAAACACAGTTAAGTAAAGGAAGATATTATCAACACTTATTTGGCTTATATACAGGAAAAAAGAAGATAAGATGCTAATTTTGAATATCACTACAAACAAGTGACAATGGTGGGACTTAAATCGACTCAGCAAAAGGAGACATTTTCTAGAAAGAATGAGATAGCTATGCAGATTAAGGCTCAAAATATTTGACAAGACTCCAAGGGAAGAACTCTTACCCATACTGAAGTAGTTCCAAAACCCCCCACGAAATGTATGGTAACCTTCCTGCAAAGCACCCAAAAATTTGTGTGTATAAAACAGCAGACCAAACGTGTCTCCAACAAGAAAGAGAAGAGCTTTGAGCCTTCACAAAAGGAACGCCAAACATTTAAAAGTGACACTTCTTTTAAACATCATTCCATCAGTTGATTACATTTTCTTGATTACTCCAATATAATTTTGGTTGAAATTTGTGCTTAGAAAAAGCGCATAAAAAGTGAAAAGTTGAAGGTTAACTCCATTTGGTTATATAGGTTGATGAAGGAACATGGCAAGAATAAAAAATTAGACTCTAGTTAGAAATCAGGCCCTTTTGCAATCATATGCAAGTGATATGCAATTTTGACACATCTAAGGTCAACAGTGAAACCATTAAATTTTAAAATCTATCTGCATTAGATTTGTTCAGAAACAAATCAACCACGAACAGAAAGCTGGCTCAGCTCCTGAAAGATAGCTTGACTTAATTTGCAAAGTAACTGATTTTAACTGCCTGCTACTCCATGGATCTGGTTCTTTTCGCTACTAAAACAGATAAGAGAGGACTTACCACGCTCAGCTCGTTTGTATCAGAGACTCGGCCAAATGCATGCAAAGAATGTGGAAGCTCAAGAGGAGCAATGGGATCCAATGGACCATCTTTTGGAGTCTTCATCCTCATGAGGAGGTGCCAGCTATATCAGAATAAGGAAGAAAAAACAAAATCAGAATTTGCAATTACTAAAAAAGGAGAACTGGTTAAAACTTGCAATGAAGATGAAGGAGACTTAAGGAAAAAAAGGACTCAATAAAATTAGTCATCAAAGAATTCATACTTCAAAACTCCATCTGCAGACAGGTAAATCTATTATATGCAAACAATTAAGGAGATGATTTAAATGATGAGATGTGAATCATCTAGAAACAGTACTGTGAATCTACAGCACTTCGAATTTACAAAAATCAGGATGTAAAAAGAAACAATGATGACTGTCAAACCTGTCTATTTTCATTTCCTTGGCTTTCTTTACTTCATTCAAAAACGATTTCACAGATTGAGGATCTGTCCCGGGATTCTTCTTCCCCTGATAAATTATCAAACAGCATGTCATGCATGATGCAAGCGATCAATGGCTGCACTATTACCTTAGCCATGAGAATTACAAATCACTCAGAACATTTAAACTTGAGTAAAGTACAAACATGGCAGCACTACTTAAGGATTGCTGGTAAATATTGTGTCTTCAAACAAGAAATTGAGAAATGTATTGGTAGTATGCACATCTACTTGTAATAAATAAAAAATTCTGAGATTTTTTAGAGTAAAAAGAAAAGATTAAGAAGAGAACTAAGTCTACAATAAAAATGGCGCAAAATGCCCTTCCATAGAGTGCATTAACAAGTTGAACTCTGAAAGGTACAAGAATCAAAAAGACATGAGTGCAATCCTAGTTGTAACTACTGACTGCCTGCATAATATCAAAGCATATTGTGGTTTTGCATAAATGACAACTCAACCAGGCATCCAAATATGATTTAGGTCATTCTAGACCATAAAAACCACTGGGACAGGAAATTGCCTACCCATCCAAATGCAAATGGAAGATTGTTTCCAGTTCCCAAGGGTACTGTTGCTATTGGGGGTGAATGAGATAATTTGAGATCAGAAACAACTCCAAGAAGCCAACCAGCAGTTCCATCACCACCTGCAACCTAGAGGATTTGGTACATGTCAGAAACAGGAAAGGGCAACAGCCTGCAAGGTCATGAAAAATAAAAATAAAAATAGCACACCATTTATGTTTATTATAATTTGACTCACAATTATTCTCAATTTCTCTTGAATCTTTGTAGCAACTTCATCCCCATTCTGCTTGAGTTTTTCAAGATTGGCATAGATTCGGCTCAGCACCTTATCAGGAGTCTCTTCCTCCAAATCAAAAACCTACAAATAAGCTAGTTCAAGATCAGATTCGAAAAAAAGTTGAAATAAAAATAGCCGCTTAATGCAACCGCTGAAGTAATAATCAATCCATAATTTAAATTGAGAAATTTGACAACATTTGACCATACAGAAAAGAAAAATATATATTAATACCTGAGTTTCATTGAGAAGGGAACGGTACGTTACAAGAAGATCCCCACCTAGCTGACCACCACTTCTGGAGTTGATAAACACTAAAACTGGACACTGGGGTACATCAGGTACTTTTTCACTCTCTGATTTTGGCACTAGTACATACTTTGGAATTTTGAAATTGTTCAAGAAGTCCTCCCCAGAGTTGGAATGTGCCATTTTTCCTCCAACTGTATTATTTAAATCATAATTAGCAATATTTTGTAATAAAAAGCCTGAAGATAGCCATTTCTACAACCAATATAATAGTGATTTAGAAATAAAAATAGTAACTTTGCAGGATACTGATGGACATACTCAAAATTCAGTCTATGCAAGATATCCAAACGCCAAAGGGCAAAGACATCATTCAAAGAAATTTTGTTTGGATGCCGAGAATACATACACAGGAAAAGTAACAGGAAAGAAAATGTTCAAATTTTGAATCTTCAAGTCTCAGCATGAAAAGAAATACAGTGTCTGGTGAAGCAAAAGATAAACCAACAATACAAATCCATTGGGTAAACTTGGAAAAGAGCTAAAAGTTCGAATTGGGTGAGAAGGCAAAGAAAGAAGACCAAATACCTATTGAGCCGAGGAGATGAGAGCCTATGACCATTTACCAGATAAGCTGAATGATGGAAGTGAGATTCTGAAATACCCGGGAAACAGAATTCAGGCGGAAAAGTAGACCAAATCTCGGGGAGAATATGCAGTTGAGGTTCAGAAGGGTTAAAGATGGAGGCTTTTCGGATCCAGAGAACCAAAAGTTGCAGAGAAAACGCGGAATGTGGAGATTATATGATATGATACAGTTGACTTGTTATTCTTCTTTCTAAAGCTCATTGTGGAGACGTGATCGATGCTATTAAGCATGACCGAAGGAAGCTATTAAAACGTGATCGAAATTATTGAAGATTTGAAGATGTGAAGGCAAAGTAATGTCTTGGATTGGAAATTACTACTATGCACATGATGAAGGGAAGCGAACGTTCCTATTCTGTCGTTCTGTGCTCAACCTGTGAAAAGAGGATAGCTTTTGTTTTGTTATCTTTGACCAATCACGATATATTAAATGAAAAAATTATCACGTATGACATAGCGTTAATGACCAAAATACAAAACATTGCTATTCTCTTTGCACCAGTGTTTCCCTCTTCGGATCATTCATAAAAACCATCTTTGGTACGCGTTGCTAAAAGCACTTTTACGTAGCGAAAAGCGCTTCTAATTTCGTCTAAAAGTCCTTCAAAGTACTTTGAAGTTTAGCATTGCCAAATGGAACATCTTTTTGTGGTTGTGGATTTGGATTTGGCGGAGGCGCCTGGTTGGCTGCTGAAACAATGTGGGATTAGGGGACGCTGGGACCAACATTCCAACATGTCATATTCCAACATGTCATCAATCGTTGTGGTTGTGGTTGTGGATTTGGATTTGGTTTTGAGAGTTGATTTTCTTCTTGATTTACTTTTTTCAAGGTAACTAATAATGATTCCGTGTTAGAGATTCCCGTATGATCTGGCCCATTTGTGAACACGTTTATGCACTACCCATTAATATCACATAATATGGTGAATCAAAGTTATCAGAAAAAATGTGTACTAAAAAAAAAGTCATCAGAAAATGAGAAGTAAGGGGACACTTTCCATGAAGTTTCCTCACATTTTGTTACTTTCAACATCCCCTTCCCACCCAAACTTATTTCATCAAGACATCCCTCTCAAACAATTACGAGATATTTTGTATCTTTTCAGTTGTGCGTCAATTTATTATAATTGTGCACCTTTCACGTATCTCTATCACACACATATTCATCTTACTACACGCCTACATATAAGACCCGAAATTAATTAATGTACTAGTGGAAAGTTGGTTTAAGAGGAATGCCAAGTCTCTCTCCACCAAAAGATTCAGTTCCCACAACTCTCTTCCCCTCAGTTTCTTAGACTTGCCTTGGCTTTTTCCATGCCCCAACCTGTTACACGCCTCTACTTCTATGAATTCCCTCACCCAACCCACCGTTTCACCCAAACTCTCCTTCCAACATTCAAACACTCTCTCTCCAACACTTATTCCCTCTCTCTGGTCACCTCACTTGTCCCCCACCTCCCACCATGCCTTACATCCTCTACTCCGCAAACGACTCTTCAGTCACACTCAACATTGTTGAGTCCACAGCCAATTTCAACCATCTTATTAATTATAGGCAACCACCAAAGGCATGTCAAAGAATTTGATCACCTTGTTCCTCAATTGCCTGATTTGAATAATAACATTAATAATATGCATTTTGATTTCAGTTTCCACTGGCATAAGCACATTTGTATTTTCAGTTCTTGCATTACAAGCAACAATTTTTCCAAAGTCTGGCATCTGCCTTGCTATAACGTATCGTCACGTTGTGGATGGACGATCTGCTAACCATTTCATGAAATGTTGGGCTTCTGCGCATAATTCTAGGGGAGACTTGTATATATTGTATATGAATCTCCTCCAGTCTATGACAGGGATATGATCACAGACCGAAAAGGGTATGATATGAGCCCATTTTGTTCAACCAGTGTACATCAGCTTGAGATCAGCATGGGGAAAATCTAATTCAACTGTTGCAGACAATAATGTTCGAGCAACAATTTGTCCTGACTCAATGCAAAAACGAAAATGTGGCGCCCCAAAAACACACTTGTCAAAATTTGTGGTCGCATGTGCTGATGAAGGCACAAGATTGTAGTGAAACTGGTGTGGCTTCAATGGAGGGTGATGATGGCTTCCACTTGGCAAGATATAAAGTTGTGGGTTGGGTTGGGTTGGGTCTAAATGTTGCTCCCTAGTTTGAGTGAGCTCCCTACCCAATAATCCAAACAGGGCCTAAGCTTTGGTCGAAGCTTGCCCAAAATTCAATCAATAAAAAGCCCGAGTTAATGAAAGCAAAAAAGGGCTCGACCCAGTCCAAACTCTTTTACAGCATATCAACGGGAATTAGAGAAGCAAAAATAATTTTTAAAAAGGTGCCAATATTCTAAAAAAATAAATACAGTTGTAGCTCAGCTTAAGTAATTAAGAGCAGTTATATATGCACTCGAAAAAAAATTGAGACGATCTCATCTCATGCATGTCATAAATATAATCGTGTTGATGCCACTAAACTCATCCCCACCAGCCATTAATTTAGATATCACTAGTACCAAATCATCATCATATAAGTGAAGCCAAGCACAGTGGCCCAAAAATTAAAAAAAAGGTTGAACAACCAACAACGTCGATCATTTTACGTGTAATTTTGCCATGCACCGCATACAATCTTGGTACCACAATTCTTGTACACGTGTTTACAAGTGACAACAGCTAAGCCCTCAAGAAGGGGGTCAACGGTCAACGCCCATGTTCTCTGTATTCATATCTGTAATTCAATCCTCAAATTTATAGTACAAAAATATACATATAGATCTCATGTTGTCATACACAACACCTACGTGCATGGATGCATAGAATACTAAGAGGTCGATCTGTATTTCTCTTACATCCACAAAAAACTTCGATCCTAACTCATTTAAAAACAATTGGCTCGACAGATATGGGTTAGGTCAATTGATCTATGAATGAAGACCTAAAAAATAGATGGTTTGGATCGTTGGAAAAAATTTCGTATGGAACCTTAGAAGGCGTCCCTCAAATAAAATTATTTAAAGAATCCCTCAATAGAAATGGAATATATATATATCATATGTGTGTGTGTGAAGTTTTAATTTTGTTAATTAAGTACGTACACCCATAATTCTCTCAAAAACAGAAGCCATTGATATTCAAAGTTTGTTGGGAGATTTGAAGGCCTGACATCAACAAGAACAAGTTAGCTAGCAACGCTTTTATACACGATTCAATTAACCACCCAATTTTAATATAATACAGACAGGTGCTACCAACCCTAGATTTGCGACAAGTAATTACCTAAACTCGTATAATGTGTACGTATAGGCATAACGCATGCATCAAATTCATCATCACAAACCCTTCAACAAAGCAAAATTATTTATATATATAGTGACGATACACAGACTGCATAAAACTTTCCACGACCACGTAAAATGGATATTATGGTTACATAATATTTGGGCACGTGTCACAGCCATAAAATTAAAGTTTCTAAAAGCTTCATTATTGCTGATCCAAAGAAATTAAATGATATGTGTGTGTGTGTGTCCTGTAGACAGCAAACAGGGAGACATGGATAACAATTATGGTTTGCTTAAAAATTAAACTATTTTGAGACATGGGATAGCGTATGAGCTGATCTTATAAACTACTTATTCTCCAAGTTCAACAGCTGAGATCATGGAATTGAAAACAAATGACCTTTTATACAGCAAGATATGAATATTTAATGGAAAATACTTCCCTTCCTGTTAATAGCAGTGTGACCTTTTTTATGTATTATTTTTGCATGTGTGTTAAATTGTGATTGATAGGAAGGACTCGGGCAAGCAGTAATCATATTTAATATGAGGGCGGAAAAACATCACTTCTTCTAGATTTTCTTTTTGTAGTTTGGGAAGTGGAAGAAGAAAGGTGAAAAGTGGAAAGCAAAGCAAACAAGCAAGCAGCAGCAGCAATTTGATTTGACTTCAAGGCAAAATCTCAGTAAGATTGATATATAATTAATAAAGATAATATTTGACAAATTTGGGTAATGTTAGATAGAGGTGGATGGACTACAGCACCTGATTTTGAATGACTCAGATTTCTTTGGTTTTGCCTTGTTACAATGCTACTGCAGATAAAAGAAGCACACTTGTTTGCTACGGGAAGAGGACATTTGTCAGTTCAGGATTGCAGGAGATGGGTTGACTTTGTTGTTGGAAAGTAGGAAGTACACCTGTTTCTGTTTGCTACGTGGCTTGATTTCTAAGACGCTCCAGCTTGGAAAGTTAGGGAACATGTGTTAACAACATGACACATCATCATGAACTTTTCTGGGTTTATTATTTTTGATTGATTAAAGGTGAGGAAAATCAAATAAACATTTTTTTTGTTTATCTTTTGTGCTAAGGCAATTCACAATTAGGTTCCTATCAATCTTCAAAACGGCAGCATTCAACATAGAACTAAATTTGTTTGACAAAATAAAAACATTGTGTCAATTATTGTAGGACCAACCAAAGAAAAAATTTCAATTATTTATCGTAGATTTCAACCAATCAAGAAATTTATAACACTTTTAGAAAAAAGACAAATTCTGAAAAAGATAGTCAAAGGATTCAATATTATCATGACAAAAAATAAAAAAAACACGACATGAATCAAACTTCCGTTTTCTAATTTATCAATGATTGACAACTATGCTGAAATATTTTTTTAAAAAATCATATGTCTAAACCGCATGATCATGATTCCATGAAGTCCTTGAATTGGGATGCTAATCTTCAACGGCGAAACTAGAAATTTTTATAAAGGTGAATTATTATTTCTTATGACAGTTAACGTAAATGAAGTGGAACGCTTATACTTCTTTCTTCTTTTTTTCTGGGAAAATTATGTAATATTATATGATATTACGGAGCATTTTGCTGATGACAGGCAACGTAAATGAAATCAAGAAAGGCCTTCGACAACAAGTAACCTCAGAAAGTTGATAGAAAATATGATCAAATAGTGAATGAATCAGGAAACAGAAGGGATGGAAGCTTTTCTCCTTGTTGATAGCAGATCTAACAACCCTACCGGCCCATCATTTTCAGTACTTGGGTACATATATTTACGAAGAAAAGTTAAAACTAAAAAAAAAGTCAACCCCATTCGCCCAAAAGCATAGTTTGTATTATTCCCGCTGGCACAATTGTATCCATGCATAAGATTAATAAAACTACACATACCATGTTTACTTTTACATGTGACCCCCAATTCCGAGGCTTTTTTATTTTATTTTTTGCTTTTTTGACGTGTGCTTATAGCTTAATTATATACCTAATATTGCATTCATATACTGCGCACATAAATAAATGGACATGTGGCAGGAGGCCGGCGCCAAATCCCTTTGACTTCAAATCGTTTCTCAAACTTCATCCCTCCACTATATATATATGCCTCATCTTTCCCTTTTCATCAGCAACTTAATTGCACTGCTTTCCAATTATAAGTCACAAAGTAGCTTTGATTCGAAATCGAAACCTTCTGATCTCCAGCTCCACATCAAGTTTGATAACAACTGCCAAGATGGGAAGAGCTCCTTGCTGTGATAAAAATGGACTCAAGAAAGGTCCATGGACAACTGAAGAAGATGCTTTGCTCGTCGATTATATTCAGAAACACGGACCGGGGAATTGGCGAAACCTTCCGAAGGACGCAGGTGTGTACATGTACATTTATATATATGATCATGTTTATCAAACAGTTTGTTTTCATTCTAATTAATGATTGAAATGTAATTACATGTATAGGGCTTGAAAGATGTGGGAAGAGTTGCCGCCTTAGATGGACGAACTACCTGAGACCTGATATAAAGAGAGGAAGATTCTCCTTTGAAGAAGAAGAGACTATAATCCAGCTACATAGCATCCTGGGAAACAAGTAAGCTTAATTATATGCTTAATTGCTAAACATATTTAATATGATTTTTTTTGTAATTAATTGCACCTCCTAATCAAATTATCTGCTTTCCAATAATGTCAGGTGGTCAGCTATTGCAGCTCGGTTGCCAGGGAGGACAGACAATGAGATCAAGAACTACTGGAACACGCATATCCGAAAGAGGCTCCTTAAAATGGGAATTGATCCGGTGACACATGCTCCGCGAATCGACCTTCTTGATCTGTCCTCAATTCTCAGCTCATATATGTGCAACAATCCAGCTGCTGCCCTTCTCAATTTGTCAAGCTTGCTGAGTAGCACCCAGCAGCAGCAACCGCTTGTCAATCCAGAGCTGCTAAGGCTGGCAACCAATCTGTTGTCAATCAAACAAGAAAACCCAGAATTGTGTTCCCAAAACTATAATCTCCATGATCAAAACCAGCTCGGCAATTCCCAGCAGCAAAATAGCCAAGTGCTCCCACCTTTACAGTCCCATGACCAGCTCCAAGATCTCATCCAAGGGGACTTTTCTGCTGACGTGGCGAAAATGAAACAGCTTATGCAAGTGATCAATGCGGAAGGGTACTCACCCAACATGACCAACTTTAACGGCCCCACATTTTCCCAAGAAAATATGGTTCCTTCAAATTTGGGGGCTGATCATCAAACTGCTGTTTGCCAACCAAGCTATGTGCCTTGCACTACTTCAAGTGATCCCACCAACATTCCTGATTTGCCCGAAAATTATTTCCAATCTTTGAATTACAACAGAAGTAGCGATTTCAGCTTCGATTCTGTTATGTCGACGCCTTATTCAAGCCCGACCGGGTTGAATTCATCGGGCACATACATAAACAGCAGCACAGAGGATGAGAAAGAAAGCTATTGCAGCGACTGGTGGAAGTTTGAAATCCCAGAGAGTGCTTTGGATATCAATGATATTATGTAGAGATCTTTTAGACTCAAATCTTCTGTTTTGTGTTTCTACTTTGATTTGATTTCTGGTACTAGTAGTTGATGTTGATAATGAGATTCTTTGTCGTCATTTTTTATTAATTAACTACAGGTTTTTTTTTGTTTGTGTGTACCAAAGTAGAGTTTGCATGCACATTAATTACTAATTAGGTTTGTTCCATTCCATGCACTGTGAAGAAAATATTCTTGTCAAAGCATATGTTATCATTTTCTTTGCCAAACTGTCTTAATGTTGTTTGAATTGAGTATATCCTGTCTTGTTACCACCATGCCGTCACCACTGGCATGCATGTCTGTTTGATCAGCTCTGCCAGCAAAAATAGATGAGTTCAAGGTTTAAACAATGTACAGTTCAATGGTTCTTGAGATCTCTACATATCAGGGAAGAAGAAACCAAAGTCTGGATGGGAACTATTGAACTTTTTCTTGTAGAACTTGGTAAAACAGTGAATGTCCATAGAAGTACGTACGTAAGTGAAATAATGCGTGAAAATTTGATCCTATATTTTCAGAGTTGATCTATTATCATTAGTTGCGTAGTTAATCTTATATTGTTTGTACATGCCCATCACTTACAAACTCGGATGAATTACAGAGAAGCAAACTATAGATATTTTTTGAAAAGTTCCAAAATCCTCATTCCGTACGTGTTCCATTAAATTTATGTAGTAGCAAGTTGTGAGGCACATAGAAAATACAGGTCAACGGGGTCTAGTTTAGTGAAAAATGACTTTAACTTGCAGACCAGATGTCTAAAGTTTGAACTCCAATGACAACATAATTGTGTGTGTGTGAGAAAACCCCTCACCACCAGTAGTTTAAACTGTCGCTATATATATATTCATAGTAAATGAATTAATGATTAATCCACATTTATCATATGAAGATGTTCATTGCCAAAACAAAAATTATCTCCCCTTTTATCTTTTCTTCACTCTTTTTTTATTGGGTCTAATTTGTACGCGTTTTGCATATTTAGCATATACAAACGTACATTGGTAGAACTCTGATGATGATCATTTGGCTTTTGAGTTTTTGCCACCTGCCAAGTACGCTGACCATGTATATGTAGTGGTGTGGTTGATCTGGAAGAAAATGAAGCTGCTTGTTCTTTTCATCTTGGTCAATCAGCTACACATTTTCGTGCGTCTTCGATCCACTTTCAGTCTTTCTCCTTGGCCTTTTCTCGACCGCCCAATATCCACAAACCCACCACTTACTTGTTCAATAAAAAATAAAACTCTGATTTCCAAGCTCATAAGTACTCAAAAAGTGTGTTTTTGTCTTCATTCACATGCCAAATGCCTCCTTCTATCTCTTCATATCATCATTGTCCCACCAGGAAGGAAAAAAAACACACAATCACATAATTTAGCAGGTATTGAATTATTGTGTGGAGCATACGTGCCCAGGCATGCTACCAAATAAAACAGATAGGATTATAATGTTAACAAATTAGTGGACTTTCTATCTGTAATGGGTTTTATATCCTTCCAACTTATTTTTTAAAATTTATTTTAATGTAACTGGCTTTGCCTTTCTGTATTATTGAAACTTATTTATGACGAAAAATTAAAAAAAAATGGGTTGTGGGAATAGAAAATGAGATTCTAGTTTGTTCCAATCACGCAAAGAAAGAATATTTGAAGTTGTGAAAGCTTTTCATCCACTCTGGAAAAAAAAACAAAAAAAGAAGCTTTTCTTCCACTTAAAGTGCGGGCAAATTCAACCCGACACATTTAATATCTCATTTTTTCATTAATTTTTGACATGTGATCTTCATTCAAGGAGTCAAGCAAAGCATGACATAATTATTGCTCTATAAATTCAAAACAAATATGTCTAGTCTAGGAGAAAATGAGTTTAGTAGTGAAAAAAAAGAAGGTGAGAAGGACTAGTGGCGGCTTGATTGATCGATTCTTTTTGTTATTCTTCACATGTTTTCATTGTTTTTTCAGAGAAAATGCGCATTTGGGTCCAAAAAAAACTTTCATTTGGTGGCTAGAACGACGATTTATTTGAAGACTTTGACACTCGACGACACATGTCCACCTTTCCTCTATTGATCAGGAAGATGAGGTAGAGAGAGCCGAGAATGGGCCTTCTTTCCCAAATTTGGTGGTTAATTGATTGGGAGCCGTGTAAATCATGAACAAGGTCTTCTGTTCCAGTTTGGGTTGAGGTGCTTATTACACCCAAACCAAGCTTGAACCGGCTCATTTTTCTTTGTCATCTAATCTAAAACGGGGATTGGGCAGAACACCATCAGGCCAATCTAAATCCTAATTACTTTACTTTAGTTTACCTTTTACACTTTTGATATTGATGATCACCATTAATATTATAAACTTAAATCCCTAACTCATCTAATCCCTTTCTTAAAATTTATGCATCTTCAAGGATAAGAAATGCTCTTAATTATTGTTCAATTTAGGATATGAAATTCACTTTGATATATGTGATATAACATTTGCATAATTAGGTTCAAGCTAATTCGGTCCAACTAATGTGGTACTACTCAGAGAACTTTACCTAACTCTAGCGAAAATTACCCTTGCCTTGGGGCTACGACACCGCTACAGCTTGCGTACATCGTGGAATTTGTATAGAGCTACGACACTGCTACAGCTCAAGTGCTCGCACCACCTCTTTCCAGTCTCATGGTTATGTTTCCCTTGCCTTGGGGGGCTGTTCTAAGAGTTGTTGGCTTATGGTGGCATATCTATGCTGGTTTAGTTTTTCGTTGAGTTTGATGTTGTTTTGCTTATTGGGTTGTTTTGTTGTTCTTAATCCAGTTAGTTTTGTTATTTCTATTTTTGTTAACCTGATGATATCATTATCTGGGACAGTCTGTTTATTCATGTTCATCTGATATTGCAGATTAGTCAAATTCCTTGGGCTTTCTTATTGGGTTGCTTTGTTTGTTGTTTATGTGCCCTCCCGGTTTTGGGGTGAGGTCTTGGAAGGAAGTTCAACTTTCGACAGAAAAAACAAAAAACATTTGCATAATTATGTATGAGACGAAATGACTGAACCAAACCGGTTATTAACTAAATTGATCTGGTTCGGTTATACTACTAGTTTGAAGGTTAAACATAATCATAATGTTGCAATAGTTAAGTATGCAGTTTGATACCTAAAGCTAATTAAATTGGACTATGTTTGCTCTCAATTTTTTTTAGTACAAGCAATTGGGGAAGGGATTTACTCAAACTAATTTGAGATATAACATATAAGATAAATTCATATTGAACGCACAATTCAGATTGTCACAATGATATCTCAAACCATGTACAAGTGATTAGTTACTGTGCACAGATACAAACTATTCAACACTCAAATCCTCACCCTTACAATCGACAATGCCCTGAATCTCCCCTGAAGACACCATACCATATATTTTCTTTTTGTACAGGGCATGCCAATACCCGACAACCGTACGTACTAGGAGACTGTATATACTAATAGCCTGCATTTGCAACAACACAATCATTGTACCTTTTAGGCTTTTCCTCTCCTACTTTCTACGCTCAATTACCAAAACCTTTGCGAGGAGGATCATCTATCTATTGCTTTTTCTTTTGATCTAATCTTCTTTGATAAAATAATCTCTGATTCAAAATGGTAAAGAAAAGCCAAGTCCATTAGCTTTTTTTAAGGACGAATGGGGCTTGCACTAAAACACACCAAAAGCCTAGTGATCTTTAACAATTTTAAAATACAGAGGGGGGACCCAACCCAAGAGAGCCCAAGGGAGAGAAGAAGCTTTAACAAATCAAAGTTTAAAATGAATGTAAAGAAAAGAAAACCAGTGGGGCAAACGGGAGAGAGTGTTGAGCTTTTCCCAAAGGAACTTTTGGTTGGAATAATTTTTGCTTGATTGGCGCTTTATGTTTGTCTTGTCTTTAAACACAACATGCATCTCTTTTCATTCATTCATTTCTCCCTTGGACTGTTGCTCTCCCTTGTATATATAATTCCACAAACTCTCTCTCTCTCTCTCTCTCTCTCTCTCTCTCTCTCTCTCTCTCTTATCTTTTCTGTGATTTGGAACCTACTACTTGGGTTTTTTCTGCTAATTTTTCCTCTGTAGAAATGGAATATTGATATTGCAATAAGCTAAGATAATGGACACCATTTGGAACATTTTACAATTTTGCTTTTTCTGCATATAGAAAAGGGTTGGTAAAACAAACAGTCTTTTAAACTTTGGAGTGTGGCCATTCCATTTCGTTCCATGTGAACTGCAATGTAATGTCCTCTCTCTCTCTCTCTCTCTCTCTCTCTGACTGACCAGTTTTGTATTACTTTATGTTATCTTTTTGAAAAATAATTTGTGGAAAAGTTGAATGCATTGGCTGTCACGCAGGCACACGATGACTTTTGTCTGAAAGAGGAGCTATTACCTAGTAACCACACACGCTCAAGGTCACGCATATGGTGCTTGCTTGAAAGGGTTCAACACAGAAACGGTCAATTCCCTAGGATGCCCTCCCATTCCACTGTTGTTTCCTTTTTCATGCACAAGTTTCAATACACAAAAACTACCCCCTCCCTCTTTTACTTTCTCTTTTTAACCTTTACTCCTTTTTCATTTTTAAAGACTTTTTTTATTGAGTGAGACAATAATATATTAAACTCACACATGCTACTCCTTTTTCATTTTTAAAGACTTTTTTTATTGAGTGAGACAATAATATATTAAACTCACACATACTACATAGATGCTAGAATTTGAACTTTTTTTTTCTTATTATTCACCTTGTTCTTGTTGGCCATGCTAATTTCTCATTTATAATTATACCCTTTTAGCCTTTTTATTTACTCATATGGCTATTGCTTGCTTGGTTTATACTTTATATCATGATTAGATTATTAAGATGTCCTTAGCACAAAATGTGACATCAATGGCTCAATGACCCTCTGGCCTTTTCTGTAGCAAAAGTAAGAAAAAGGCTATGGCAAGTTCATGCTGCTCAGCAATCACACAAAATTGAAAAAATAAAAGGAAAGAGAGAGGAGAGAGAGAGCACTTTCATTCCATATCATATCAGAGTGTGA